GCAGTATCACTACGGAAGTAGGAATGCCCAACCTTCCTTCCGAGGAGTGGCTGGTGGGTTTGAACCGCCAGCCTTCTGGTTAGCAGTCAAGTGCAAATGCTTCACATAGTGTTTGGCCCATATATAGAAGCTATCCATTAATTCAACAAATATTCAACCTCTCTTCTGGGCTAGGCACAAAGCACTAACTAAAACAGGGCAAGGTCTTGAAGTGGGCATTACATTTACTCAAATGATTATTTAACTCCATTTTGCAATTGGGACAGAATCAGGAAAGGCTTCCTGGAGGAGGTGATATTTGAGCTGACAACTGAAAGAGGAATAGAACTTAACTGAAGTGAAGACGCTCAGCTCTGTATGCCCATTTTACAGGTAAGGAAAATGGGGGTCCGGAGATGTGAGCTTGTTTGCTGTCACACAGCTGGCCAGGGCTGCGCTGGAAGTGGAGCCAGGCCTGAGTCCAAAACCAAAAAAAAAAAAAACCAAACCTGTTGCCTAGTTGCTGTCCAGTTGATACTGACTCATAATGATCCATGTTTGTCAGAATACAACTGCTCCATACGGATGTAATCTTTTTGTAAATAGATCACCAGGACGATCGCCCGAGGAGCCGCTGGGTGGGTTTGAACCACCAACCTTTAGGTTAGCAGCAGATTGCAGACTGCATCCAGGGTGCTGCTACCGGGCACTGCAGCAGTGTGGGGAGTGAGAGCACGAACCAGCGCTTGTCCCCATGAAACTACGGGGGAACATTTATCAAGCAGGTAAAAGGACCTGTTCATTTATGGCCACTTGAGAACAACAAGACACACAGAGAGAATCCAAGGGGCACACCTGTCCCCCCTCGTCTGTTGTTGTTGTTGTTATGTGCCGTCGAGTCGGCCCCGACTCATAGCGACCCCTCCTTGGGTTTCCGAGGCAGTATCACTACGGAAGTAGGATTGCCCAACCTTCCTTCCGAGGAGCGGCTGGTGGGTTTGAACTGCCAGCCTTCTGGTTAGCAGTCAAGTGCCTTAGGCACCACGCTACCAGAGCTCCTTCTCCTCCTCGTCTGGGGGAGGGAATCTAGGACCTTCTTCTGGAGAAAGTGACAGGTCAGTGTTTGAAGCATGGGTAGGAATTAAATGTCATTCGAACAGATGAAGTGATGGTCTTAAGCGAGAAAACAAAACAAAAGGCAACCAACCCAGCCACCCGGAACTCTGCAGGGGGAGGAGAGGTCCAGAAAGTATTACTCGCTTTGGGTGGGGGCGCTCAGATACAGCCCCAAGGGATTGTATTAAAAATAAGTTTATTGGTATTTTCTCACCACTGGGGAGAACGGAGGGGGCTGAGCTCTGGAGGTCAGAGACTGCAGGATGGCAGGGGCCCAACCAATACGCCCCCATTGGAACTCGAGCCCCTCTCCCCCTAGGCAACCCCCCTTTTTCATCCATATTGTGATTTGTCTCGCAACTCCCAACCCCTCCGAAGCCTGGGATGGGGAGGTGGGGAGGCCCCCCACGGGTCAATTCTCAAGTCAAGAACTGGAGCTGTAAGGGGACAGGGTATGTGCAGACCCGTGAGTCCTTCCTCCCCTCGACTGAGGGCAATGGTAAGGTAAAATTCATGGCTTAGAAGGCAAAGTTAAGGGCGGCAGCCAGGCAGACAGCGCTGTACCC